GGTGATTTGAGATAAGCATGAAGTCTCTGTTATACTGGCTGAAGTTCTGCAAGGCTAAGATCAGTACATATATTGTGCAATGTCAAAAACTATGTTTGATGACAACCCATCTTCCAGGTACCCACATCTTTTCTCAATTTTTCAGGCTGAAAGCCAAGTGAGGAGGGTGAAGTGTCTGTGACCAACAAAGATGCCCACTTTTCTAGGTGTGTATTGCATTATGAGGCACCAGGGCCGTAACATATTGCTAGAGAATTTTCCTTTGAGCCTATTCATTGCTTATATAAAGAGCTGGGGACAGTTAACAGAAGAAAGGGGTCACTCACACCCTTCACCCTACAGTTATCATGATGCATTTTGTGTGGCAGCACTGTCAGAATGAATGAGTTCCAATGTCTTATTTTGGACTTGGAACTGCATTAATGATGAATGACCAAAAACATACCAAGTCATCCCCACATCAGTATATCCACTGGCAGGCATGTTGGAAGATATCTGGAGCTGCTTTGGAACTTCACATGCTTGAGTGGGATACAATGAGTTGAAAAAAGAATACTAATCTACTGTCACACTTAGATTTTCACCAAAAGGCACAATTTGATACTTATATGCAGTTGCTTTCCAATGAGATGCCTAGTCAAACATGAAGCAGTTTGGGTAGCAATAGGATGCTGTAGCTGAAAAGAAGTGAGAAGTGAAAGGCCTTAAAGGTATATATTGTTAATGTGCTCTTCCAACAGTATACACATTCATGTTTTTTTCCCACTAATATGCATTCATATGTGCCCTGGACTTCAGAGAATATTGTTTGAGATCTTTCAGGTGAGATCTTTTGATCTGAGAAAGAGCTGCTAGTGATTTGGACCAGGTGCCAAAGCAACTGACCTGTAGAATTCTAAAATCGGTTTGGATGCTTATTGCCTTCCAGATGTAGCTCTCCAGATGTTGTCATAACCAGCATTAGTTTTCACCATTAGATATGCTGGTTCAGGCTGATAGTAACTGTAGTCCAACAATATCTGGAGGGCCATAAATTGCCCACTCTTTAAAAATATATAACCACACATTACATTAAATCTAATTATTCCACCTATCATCTAACCTTTCTTAGAACAGAAGGTTAGGAAAGTTACTTTTTTACATTACAGCTCTCCGAACCCCTCAGCTGGCATGACCACTATAATGAGGATTCTGGGAGTTGTGAAGCAAAAAACTAACTTTCTAAGCTCCAAAAAGAACATTTTCTGTTAATAATAACGGTTCCAGATCTTGAAATTGTAACCATGTTAGTCTGAGCAAGCATTTCAACAAGAAACCCAAAAAGTGTGATTGGGTTCTTTGTCTGTGACGGACAGGTCTTTTCGGCAGGAAAAACAGACGGAGACAAGGATAACGCTACAAATGGGGATTCTTTATTCTTTTAAACATCTTGATTATCAACGTAGAAAGGGTCCAAACAACTTAACTCAGGCAACAACTTGTAACTTTTAACGTTCATCCCATTCACATTCTTCACTACTTTCGCTCCCTCTTCGTCCCATGAGGACTTTGATCGGTTTTGTTCCACGTTGGGAAAGTCAAGGCTGCACATATCGTCCCGCAACAGGGATGTTTCACGTAGTTCCCTTACAGATATGGTAGGTAGCTGGTGGTACCAATATAGGTTACCTTATTTCCTATGTCCTGCAAGCATGGTACCGCTACCATAATCCATCCTGTTTTCAACTTTGTTTTTCTCTACTGGGCTTGAGGTGTCTGGTAATAAGCCTCCCCCAGTCCTAAGGTTAGGACTAATTCAACTGGTCTGTGCCTTTGTAATTCTTTCTCCTCTGTCTGAGTGCTTTTGTTCTCCCTTTCCACTCCATGAGGTTCCTCTCCTCTCCCCCTTATCTCCTCCTCCTTTATAGTCTCGTCGCATCTCATTAAATCTAGCTCCTCCCCTTTTCTTGCTTGTCTTCCTTCTGCCAAGAATTACAGCCCTATTCCTCCGTTTCTCTCTCTTCTATCTTGATCAATTCTCCCACTGCACAACCAGTTATTAATTCTTGTCTGTTGTCCTCGGAGGACAGCACACTATGCTGATCTTCACACAAAACAAAATAAAAACAAACAAAAAATGTTGTGGCACCTTTAAAAGGGTGTGTGTGTGAGAGAGAAGCTGTGAGGACTCTGGAGCAATTTTCCTTTTAGACAAGATGCTGGTGCCCTTTCCTTTGTTCCTCAAATGTGTGTTGCAAACCAGCAATGGATTTCCAGGCTTTTTCAATTTTGTTTTTTGGAAATGGTACATCTGTGGATGATTTACCTGTGAATGTTCCTTGCATGGTGAAAATTAAACCTTATGCTTGTGGTTTTGCAGCATTTGACCATGTAAGTATATACTGTAACACACTCTACATGGCTGTCTTTGGAAAGTGTTCAAGAATGTCAGTGAGTCCAATTGCCACAACCAGATTGTTAACTGAAGCTGGTTACAGGGATCATATAACTGCAGTTACAACTCCACTGGCTGCCAGCACAATTCAGTATTGTGGTTATAACTTACAAAGCCCTAAACAACTTGATTCCAAGTTATCTGAAAGACTGAAATTCTATTTATGAGTGTGTTCAGGTTTTTAAATCATCAGGGGAAAATTTTCTCTGTCCTGCCACCCTCAGAGATAAATTTGCTGAGGACACAAGAGATGGTCTTCTCTGTCACTGCTCCCAAGTTGTGGAACTCCATCCTATGTGAAGTCAGGCTGGCCCCCTCTTTGCTGTCCTTCTGCAGCCAAAAACTTTTCTCTTCGGGCCGGCTCTTCCTCAGTGACTGGCTGCCTAAAAGATGAGCTGACGTTTTTGTTTTGGTGTTGTTGCTGTTGTTTTGCTCTCTCCTTCCAGTATTTATATTGTTTGTTTTTAACACTGTAAGATACCTTGGGCCCTCTTGAAGAGAAAGTGGAGTGTAAACATTTTAAATAGAAATAAATGATCATCAGAATATTTCAATTCAGAGCTTCTAGCTTATTACACCTGTAATATGAGACCAGAGTCCTCAATAGCAGGAAGAAGGTCCTTTTCCATTTCCTTCATCTGAAACTATTCCTACACAGTGCAGGGAAGGGAGTCTGACCTCATCTGTCCCACAACATTTTCATTTCAGGGTACTACATACAATCAGACTTGGACAAGCCAATTCCCACACACACCCTGGGGTTAAATTCTTGCTCTCTCTCTCAACTGAGACCCATCTAACCTTTCTATACTTCTTGGAAATTATCTGAAACTTATCCAACTTTTTTGTATCTACATACTAAATAGGCATTGCAGAAGCATCCATCTTACTTTGTGGTGGTCCTGTTCACTTACAGACCGAGATATTCAACCTGCTAAGTGTATTATTGTAGCCTATCCTCTTATATGCTCCTGTTCAGGGTTCCAAGTAACTCTGTCTTCAAAGAGTATTTGCTTTCATCACTGTTCCATTTTCCTATTCCAACTGTCATTCTATACTGTGTGACTATGGTGCAAGTACCAGCTTCATCAGACTGCTCATTTTAAAAAAGTGTTTGGACTTCTGAATAATGGAGGGTTCCCCTCAACCATGTTGGCAGTTCAATTTGTTTCTTGATGTCTCTATCTTGACTACAGTCCTTGCACACACCCCTTGTGAATTTCCTTTTCGAGGAGTATTCTGCTGCACAGAAATTCAGTAGAGTTAAAACACATCTCTGTCTCCTAGTAAGTAACAATAATGATGCAATATCAAACCATGAAAATATGAGACATTTTTGCTGGTCCTAGTCACTCGATCCTCTTTATCTGTACAGTGGTGCCTCACACAACGATGTTAATTGGTTCCAAAAAAATCAACGTTGTGTGAAACATCGTTCTGTGAAACACCATTTCACATAGGAATGCATTGAAAACCAGTTAATCCGTTCCAATTGGAACGGATTGCCATCGTTCAGTGAAAATCCCCATAGGAAACATCGTTGAGTGAAACAATGTTTCCTATATTGGAATGTATTGAAGCCGACTCAATACATTTCAATGCCTTTGCGAAGTCCCTTTTCGCTCCTGTAAAAGTGTCTTACAATGTTTGGACGCTGTTTTAAATGATTGCAATGGTTAGTCCACCTCCTGAAACCTACGCAAACTGATTTTGGTGTTGTTCTGACACTTCGTTAATTTATGATGATTTTTTGTTTTTTCTCCATAGGAAACCATTGGAAGGTCTGTCTAATGGTTTCCAATGGAAAAAACAAAAAATCATCATAAATTAATGAAGTGTCAGAACAACACCAAAATCAGTTTGCATAGGTTTCAGGAGGTGGACTAACCATTGCAATCATTTAAAACAGCTTCCAAACATTGTAAGACACTTTTACAGGAGCGAAAAGGGAGATCGTTGTGTGAAAATCCCCCATAGGAAACATCGCTGTGTGAGGCAGCAAATTTAACAGAAAAAGGCATCGTTGTGTGAATTCATCGTTGTGTGAGGCACTCGTTGTGCGAGGCACCACTGTATTTGGATCTGAATCACCAGAGCAGAGTGCGTAAGAATGTAAAGACAAAAACAACCACAATTGGTGATGCTACACAATATTATTCCTGTTTACGGGAAATGAATTTCCTAACCATACCTGCAGATCCCTGATATAACTCGACCTGATGGTCTCCCATCCAGATACCAACCAGGCTGACCCTACTTAGCTTCTGAAATCCAACAAGCCCAGTGTATGAAGGCTTGCATGGTGGCTGACGTGTCTTATAAGACAGCAAGCCCCAATGAACATAGAGGGACCTATATTCAAATAAATGTTCAGAGCATTACCCTGTAACTGTATTTTTGTACTTAATATCCTGATAAAATATAGGCAAGAATCATGAAAGTTGTCCTTCTTTTTGAACTGTTTAGTCTAACACCTTGCAAGAAATGAGTTCTCTTCTCTTAGGTGCTCATTCAAAGCCATATCTCAAATGGAGATTAACAGCAGATAACAAACTAACAGCTGGAATATTTATGTAAATATTTAACAGTGACCATTTATTTTATTTTTTGATTTATCATTTTACAAAAAGGCAGGTATAAAAAAATGAGCAAAAGTTCTGTAATTCCTTCCCAGTTTTTTTGATACAAAACTGGCATTAAGTATAAATGAAATACACTGGTCAGATTTGCTCCTGAGTCATTCACAATTCAAGCTGTTTCCAGGTCTGGAATGCATTAGGTCTTCTGGAAAGTCACACTTATTTTATAAGCACTTTTTTCTTGATAAATACTTTCCCCATTTGATATGTGGCTAGCACAAAAACTGGCATCACCATTTCATAATGCCCTTGTCCCATCGAATGGGAAGGATCACCAGTTCCATTTCATGGTATCACATTTTCATGCCAGCAATATGCAAAGATGCGGCAATGAAAGCACAAAAACATATGAGACCATGACATGGAAAAAGAGATCCTACAAATTATGGAGAGGTAAACATGACATAGTGATGCTGTTTTAGTCATCTGCCTCATAACAAGCATACTGTATAGTTTTGCTCTACCACCATCTTAAATACATCAGGTAATCGAGAGCCAATTGGTATGCTGAGTTCCAAAACCCTGTCCCATTCCTCTTCTTCAACAGACTCAGCACACTATCAGTGATATTTCCCCCTGCAGACTGAAAAGAAAGGCTGGGTGAGGTGTTCAAGAAGAACAATAAGAAAGCAATGATCACCCTGATTTTCAACCAACCCTTATTGACTGTTGTACTGTTACGAATCATAATAGAAAATGCAAGATCCCATTTCTACTATTTATAAGCTGTACCAGTCTCAGAATGCTGCCTGGCCAACTAAAGAATTAAAAACATTTACCACAATTCCCTGTTTAGCCAAAAAGACTGGTCAAACAGAGAGGAGGTTGGGGAGGCTGTATCTTGTTGTGACTTTCTGAAAATGTGGATCATCCTATGCAAACACCTGTACATGTGTCACTGAAATGCTTTTATGAGTACTAAGTACTCTTCTTTGAAATAAAATTGCACTTCTGTCATTATCCAACATTTAGCAAGAAAAAAGTCTGATATGCATATTATGCCACAGATATGAAAAAGCAAGAAGGCAAGCCGAAAGACATACACAGATGCTACCCACAGGGCAGTGATGGCATTTGGTTGTTTTGGTCTTTTTACCAGCATTTCCCATACCCACAGCAGAAGGGCACTTTTTGCTGGCCTTAAACTGTTTTCCTGGCAGTTAAGACACGGACTATTGAACCTACGCCTCCAGCAGCAAGAGCCTGGAAACAGAAAATAAGGAAAAGTAAGTTAAAATTATCTTATAAGAATAAATATAATCAAATGGATGTTTATCATCTTGCTTAATGTGGCTATTATGGAAATCAAACATCAGTACCCTAAACTACAGACTAACATCTGCCCCCTTCCCATTTACACTTCTTACATAAACACCTGCTCAAGACTTACAAGACTCCAAAAAAAGTTTAGGGGAAACAGTCACAAGACTCAAAATAACCATCAACCTCACTAACATACCTTTTCATGCCACTGAAGCAAGACAGCACTGCTGTTGTCAGATGGGCTCTCAAAGCCTTTGTAGATGTATTTCATTAAAAGATCAACACCATTCTTATCCAAAGACTGTACTGCTTTTTCAATATCATTGGCTTTGAAAGAGATGAGAACTTTCAGAACAATGCTTGCTGCACGATCCTAAAGACAAATTCAAGGTGTTACAAACAGAGATCACAAAAATGCTTTTCTGTCCAGATATTTAGGCAGAATCCTGTTAAAAATCTGGAGGGCAATGGCTGCACAAATAGGGTGTTCCAAGTGATAGTGATAGGGCTGCCATATGCCCAAGACAGTCATGAACACCCTCTAGCACAAATACAAGAAAAATGACATATATATAACAGGCTCCTGCATATGTGATACAAATGAACAGAATTTGGGCCCTAGGCTAAAAACACATCTGCATTTATGCAAAAGTCACTTCCACTAAACCAACTGAATCTACAGTTGCCAAGACCTACAGAATCCCTTTCCAGGATTTTCTAGGTATAGAGTACCCAGAAGTGCTTCACCAGTCTGGAGATGTTCTGGAACTGTGCAGCTTGCCCATGCTGGCTCTTATCCAGAGACGCATAGTAAGGAATTGAACTCTTGGCCTCTGGCTTGGCTCTGTAGACAGATATCCAACTCACTGAGCTATACCAGTCTACTAATCAGACACGATTAATTACAGAAAAAATAAATTAGTTCTAATTTAGAATTCAGGAAACCTTGAATACTTCTGTTAGATTTTAAATGCCAAAAGCAGATTAGTTTGTTCGCAAATGGCAATTTTCCAAATAAATAAAACTGAATTTTAAAAAAGCTGTTTCAGCCTAATTCTCAGTCTCTCTGTTCTCCAATTCCTTTTCTTTGTTTGCAAGACTGTAAGGTTGTCGTTGAGAGCAAGGTCCCTCTCACGGGAGTGCTGTCCCTCTCACTCTCTGCCAACAAGGAGGTGCAAACACCACCCATTCCCCCTCCCAGGAAGATTAGACCACCTGACCAAAGCCCGGGGAGTGTGGAGGAGAAATTGAGAGGAATGTCCCTTGGAGAAGGTGGGAGTATTTTGGCGGGAAAGGAATGACAGCCCCGGGTAGAAGTAGAGGCGGGGCTGGGGGATATTTAGACTGGGGATGACAGCTTGCCTCATGGTTGGGAATGTATATGGTTAGAGGACCTGTGGACTGGGAAGGTGGAGAAGCTGAGGGTCCCAAGAGGAGAGGCAGACACCCGGAGAAGAAGTAAGCTTACACCTAAACCCTCTTGTTGGGGGGAGCACAAGACGAAGAATGGAGGAAGAAGTTGAGGGAGGAAAAAGATAAGTTTGAGAGGGAAAGGAGAGAGAGATTGGAATGGCTGATGATGCAGCAGCAGCAGAGAGATCCTTCGGGAGACTTTGGCCGGAGAATGCCTCCTCCCGAGACCCGATCTGGACAGATGACCGGGACGAAGACACAGTACCCCTATTGGAGGGGGAGAATGGACAGTTATTAAATGCAGACTGTACCCTGGACTGGCCGGGTCCCTGAAATACCCAGGAGACTATTCTGTTCAAAGCTGAAGGCTGGAGGCCCCCTCCTAACCCGTTATTAGAGGAAGACAATGGTTGGAATACGTTTGTAGATATAGGCTGTTTGTTAAATAATCCAATAAATGTGACTCCAATTTCCAAATCAAGGAAGTCTGTCAATTTATTCAAAGAAAAAGTGGAGACAGGACTCAAACCCTCACAAAGACCCAGACCAATCAGCAGGGTCCAAGCCACTCTTCACTTTGATTTCTTTTGAAAAAACTGACAACTTCAAGTCTGGATAGCATGGTTTAGATATAATGCCAAACAATGATATACAGTATCTATCTAGTCCCTCTCCTCCAGTAGAACCATAAAGAGATTGAAAACTTTCAGTTCTGTTTCAATTAACAGTAATTTATTATTGTGTTATTCACTGTGGTTATTCTAACTGTGACTTATGAAAACAACCCATCTTCATAAACAATTGTTTGACATTCTTTTTTCATGTAAACCAGTCTTCTCCAAGCTGCTGCCCTCCAGATATATAGATTAGAATTCTCACCATTCACAACCACTGGCCATGTTGGATAGGGCCCAAAACATTTAGAAAGCACAGGTTATTGAAGAGTGCAATAAACCATAATTGTTCAATTTGGGACATAAAGACAAATTTCAGATTGTCAAAAACCAAAGCAAAAGCTTCCATTGCTATGTTTATGCTACAGCAGGAAAATGAAGAGCTGATAAATCTGTTAATTCATTAAATCACAGTAGGAATGAAGCCAAATAAGAGGATTACAAATTTGACATTATTCATTGTTACAGCAATAAACAAAACATGATTGCCTCAGAAGTCTCATTTAAAAAACAACAGAACTGGAACTCAAAATTCAAGCCCAGATGCTGAATATTAAATTTGCCAGTTCCTGGGAAGGATTTGTTATAATCCAAGGTAGAGCAATTTAACAAAGTGTTATCTCGATACAGTTAAATATCCTGAGAAACTGGAATAGGCTTCAGTAACCAACATAAAGCATAGTATCGTCTCACCTTTACAGCTTGACACTTGGTGTTGATTGGAGGATTCTTCAGAGCTGCTTGTAATGCAGCCATCATGTTCCCTGTATAGGTTAGTTAAGGACAATACCATCTTGCCAAACATTTAAATCTGTTAAAGTAATGTTCTGAAGACAGTTCAGATACATTCACAACATTCCTTAAAACAAGCTGTAAGGTAGTACCTGCTCCCACCTGTTTGAGGTTATGACACAAGTAGCTTGTCTAAGACCGCTTTATTACTGAATAAGATCTATATAGCACAAGAATAGAGCAGGGTGCTTACTATGCCTATTAAATGTGACACAAGTCTATCAACTTCACTGTTTAACATGAGAACAAACAAGAATATCTGCATGCAGAAACTAAGGAACAGATCTTAACTATGGGATATCATCACCCTGCTATGGCTTGAAGTGTTTTGGCCAGGTCTGGTTAGCCTGCTGACTGCAAATTCTCTTGTACATGGATAATTTGGCTACAACATTTGATGCAACAGCCAAATTATCCTGTCTAGATTATTAAAGTGTGCTCTACATGGAAATGCTCTTGGCATAAAAGACTGTTATCTAAAACATCATATATACACCACAATGATATATAGGAACTGCATCTTAAACTCTGCTTTCAGTCCAGTTTAATTGTCTTAGTAATGATATTAATAACCCCAAATTGTAGTGATCCTTAAGTATGGAATGGAAAAATATGTCCATTCACAGTAAGTCTGTGTCTCAAAGATCATAACCTGCTAGTTAGTACTGTCTTGTTGTTTTGTTATTTATGATCTTGAGTTGCTTAAATTATTGGGTTTGTTTTAAAGTGCCTTTATTTATTATTTTGGGTACATGATGGGATAAAACTATTCAAATAAATGAAAGTAGTAAGCTCTACCTGCCTGAGACCAACATATACCGTACTTGAACAGCTTAAATTAATTAAAAACCCACTAAAGAAATGCCGCACATAAACTGCAAAAAGGACCACCCATTGAGTTGTAAATTATATAGATCTTGACATTTAAACTGCATATAATCTGCTGATATGTTATTCTGCCTTTATTCATAACATCTTTTAATGTGTCCAAGCATACGAGAGACATAGGTGTAAGGGGGGGAAAAGCAACTCTGGACATAAGAAACAAGAAATTCAGTTAGCCAGTTGATAATGCAGCAATATATTAATTAGCTTTCAATTCGGTTTTTAAAAGGGAATTTGTTGTCCTCTGATTCTGTTTTCAGTACAGTACTTTCTGATTAGATTCTTCCTTATCGAAGAATGAGTTTCCTCTATAAAGAATGTGTGCCTAAGATTTCAACATGGAACTGAAGAATACTAGCTATACTAATACTAATTAGATGCAACTGTTTCCATAAAAGGTAACCCCCTGCAGAACTCATGTACTTCCTTCACTGCATCAGTCTAACAGGAAGAACTTTGAGAGCTGCAGTGTCCTAGGAAATCCTCCTCCTGTTTTATCAGGTCTGATACTGTCAAATGCATGGTAACCAAGAAAAAGATGTATTTTAAAATCCTGATGTGAACATTGTCAGTGTATAACTTTAATCTTGTCTAGTCCTATTATATCATATGAAGCCATTTCCCCCTCCGCCCATTGTATAATTTTTTTGGAGTTATTCTTCAGAGGAAATAAAAATAATCTAGACGCACAGTATTTTCAGATCTGAGAAATGAATCGAATATTTGATAGGCAGACTAGGAGATGTTGATATGCACATGCACACATTCTACTACCGACACTCCATCTCAGTGCACAGAGACAGATTGGCATCTCTGTTCCCTGCCTGCTAAGATCTAGGTATTGCTAAGCCTTGGGAAAGAATTTCTCTTATTCCCCAACAAACTGCAGCTAGATTGTTTGCTGCTAATAGTGGTGAAGAACTAGCTAATGTATTCCTCCACCTACAGCAATTATAATTGTCACTGCTACAGCCACCAGTAGCAGAGAGATTAGGAGGGCTATACAATTCACATCCAGGGGCTAAATACATCTGTGTACTGTACTTGAGTCCAATTTCATTAATCTCATTTTAAACACTTCACACACTATTTAACACTTAACTGATTAAATATTTTAGGTTTTGCAATTAAATGAATCAAGTTTTACTACAGTACCATCATGATAGACTATCTGTAGAGATGAAGAAAGCACATACGCAGTGTAATATTTTACATGTTAAGATAAAAACTATCTTCACAGAATTTCCTCCAGGTGCAGGACACCAGCCTCAACTACACACTGCAGATACAGCAATTCTTTCTATGAGAAGCAAGTTAAAACCATTCTAACTCTGTTGAAATTGCATACAACAGGTTATAACAGTGCCAGCAACTTTGAAATCCTTTCACTGTTCCTAATTAAAATCTGACCAAACACCCCATCACCAGCAGCAGCAGCAGCTTGCAGTTAACACATTAACCTGTTAATGTTTTCAGGCTTGATTTGGTCACTGGATGTTAAACCAGCCCAAGATATAGACCCACCTTCCGGCCCACCTCTTGAAAGTAAAAAGGCCGAGAACGCACGAGACAGAGGAGAAAAAGAGCGAACGAGAGAAGCAAGAAAAGCCAGTATGTGTTAAAGGTGGAGGCAGATTAACATCCCTGCCCAACGAAGGGTGCTAGCGCCTTGCCAACATCCTCGTTGATGACGCTCTGCCTTAAATCCACGCCTCATTTTTTTCCTTTCACAACATTATTGTGAGGAACAGCACCGATAAAGAGCAGTAAAAATCATTGTCCATTGCCAATACAGTACTTCAGAGCCGGGGAGGAGGAAGGGAGGCGGCCGAAGAAGCCCACGAGCCCGGCCCCCCCCCCCGGTCCCAGCCCATCGAGGGCGACGAGGAAGCAGCAAGGATATTGCCTCAGCCACGAGTCCACCTCGCCCTCATCGGGGCCGACCTGGCCGTCGCCCCCGTCCTCTTCGTCCACGAACTTGTTCTCGTCGTACTCGTCCACGTCCACCCGGCGGAAGCGTGCGGAGGACACGGTGTGCTTCGCCATCGCCGCTGCGTCCCACCTCAGGCAGTCGAAGAAAAAGCGGCCACAGCCGAGAACCTCCCGTCAAGGCGGCGGCCGGGCTTCGCGTCAGGGAGTCTCGAGCAGGAAAGGAAGCCGCGGAGGCGGCCGTCAACGCCCGGCACTGCGCATGCGCAAATGGTGGGCCGCTTAGGGGCTTCCCAAACTCCTATGCGCACGCGCACCCTTGCCAAACCTGTCATTTCTCAGGTTCACTTCCTGCGGGTAAAAAAAAGAAAGAAGAGGTTCGGCTGTTATGCGCATCTTATGCGCTCTTCTGCACCTCCTGTGTATAGCAGGACAGGATTTTAAGACTTATATTTGTTAGAGACAAAGTTTTGTATCCACAAACAACTTCTAATACGCGTGGGCAGAACCCGTGCCGCCTAATCATATCATCTTGCGCATGCGCAGAAGAGCGTAGGCCGGGGGGGCTTGGTCTTTGTTTGGGCTGAGAGAGAGAGAGAAGTAACTTCGGAGAGGGCCCAAGAATTCTGCTAGGCTCTGTCCGTAGTTACTCGTAACTTCATTCTTTGTTGTCAGCGGGGCGGGGCGGGAAGGAGGGAGAGAGATGGGTGGAGGCCCCCGCCCCTGCCGCTGCTTTCTGAAGGCGAGCAACGACGACTCCGAAGGAGTCCTGTTCTTGTGTAAAATGTACGCGCGTACCGGGAGGAGTCGTCGCTCCTCATGCGTTGAAGGAAGGAGGGAGGAGCGAATCTCCCCCTCTTCTCTCCCTCCTGAAGGGGCGCCGTGTGCGAGAGAGCGCACCCTCCCAGTCCTTCGGTTCCTCTCCCCCTCCCCCCACGCTGGGGACTAGGAGTTGGAGCCATTCGGGGAGGGAGCGGGTGGGTGACGTTTCGGGTCAGTCTCCATCCAGTCCGTTGCCGCGAAAAACAATTAGCAATTTGTTGTTTTTAATTTTGTTTAATACGCCCAACGGCTAGAATCCCGCTCGAGTTCATGTAAGGCTTGCGCGACGGGCTGCAGCTGTTTCGACTGCCGAGGGTGGCCGGGGGCGCCTGTCGGTCGAGGGCTCCTTCCCCTGCCCGTTTGCGCGGTTAGGATGCGCGCGCCGGCGCCTGGTGATGTTCGTTGGAGGCCGCCGAGGGCCGTTTCCCTGGAGGTTCCCGCGAGCGGACGACGTTCCAGCCACCGTGTCCTGAGGGCTCTCCTTAAACATCTCATGCCTTTGAGGAGGAAAGGGACAAAGTGCCTGTGCCATAATAAATTTCCTTATATTATGTGCAATTTTTTTTCCTTATACAGTATTACGACCGGTTTGTTAATCCTCTTTGACAAAAAGCAGATTTTGGTTCCTTATTTTTGAATGGAATAATTACAGTCAAGGGATTTCTTATGGGAAAAAGGAAGTGGACTCGTCCATGAAAGCTCAGATTAAAACATTGTAGTTAGTCTTTTAAGGTGCCACAATGTTTTTGCCTTGTTCTTTGCCTATTATGAGAAAAAAAGTGATTTCATTTTACATCTGAGGTTTTTTTTAAAAGACAGAACACGTTTTCTCTGTGTTGCCTTAGTTGCGGAGAGTTAACAGTTTTTTCTCTACAATACAAGGCTTATTTTATTGGTACTAGTTGTAACAAAGCCGCCCAGAGTAGACCTTTGGTCTAAATGGGCAAGATATAAAATCTAATAAAATTAAATTAAAAAATAAAAAGCATGACAAAAATGTTGGCTTCCCATGTTTCTTAAAACTACCTTGGTACAGTGGTGCCTTGCTTAATGAGCGCCCCGTTTGATGACAAATCTGCATAGCGATTAGGTTTTTGCCATTGCATTGCGATGTTTTTAATGGTAAAAATTGCTTTGCGACGATCGGTAAGCTGTTTCGCTTACCAATTTTCACAGTGATGTTTTCAAAACAGCTGATCGGCAGTTCCAAAATGGCCACCGGAAAAAAATGGCTGGCTGCTGTGTTTTCGCACCGATTCCTCGCTTACCAGGCAGCGAAAATGGTGGCCGCATGGAGGATTTTCGCTTAAAGGTGAGTTTTAAGCCCATAGGGACGCATTAAACGTGTTTTAATGCATTCCTATGGGCTTTTTATTTTCACATAGTGACGATTTTTCCAGAATGGATTATCGTCACTATGCGAGGCACCACTGTATGTGTTTTTTTTATTTATTTTGTACCTGACTGGAACTCGAGCAACAAAAACTTACCCTTTGAAAGTTTTCAGTTCTGTGGTTATCTCTTACAAAAGAAACAAAACCCCTAACCTCCAACAAAAAGCAGGCAGTTACAGATATTGTAAAACCTCACAAAAGTGTAGGTGGAGAACAGGGAGCAGTACATCTCTGAGTGAAGAGAAAAGAAAGGTTACCAACCTGTAACCATGGTTCTTCTAATGGTCCTCTGCGAATTCACACAAGTGGGGTTTCGTATGCACCTGTGCAGGAAGTTTTGGAAGTTTCTATAGTTTCAAAAAAAAATCTGACAATGAGATACCCCCCCAGAGCACTAGCTTCAAAAAAAGATCTGACAATGAGATACCCCCCCAGAGCACAAGCTCCGCCTCCTCAACCTTCCTCTCAGTTCCTCTATAGTCCGCTGCTGTCAAAGTGGAATATATATATGTGTGTGTGTGTAGATAGATAGATCACGTGACAGACAGAGGGGTGGAAGGGAGGGATTGTGTGAATTCAGAGGACAACTAGAAGAACCATGGTTACAGGTAAGTAACCTTTTCTTCGTTGTGGCCTTTGTGAATGCACACATGGGTAACTGACAAGCTCACTTACCAGATAGTGGGACGTCACGGTAGCAGTGATGTCAGTATAGCCCTGCCGAAAGTGGCATCATTCTTCGCCCTGACATCGAGGTGGTAATGCTTTACGAAGGTCGATGGGTTGGACCAGGTTGCCACTCGGCATATTTATTTGATTTATACCCCGCCTATCTGGACCAAAGGACCACTCTAGGCGGCTTCCAATATAAAATTAGACAGTAAAACACAGCAAATACATAGAAATTTAAAAAACTACAATAAAATAAAATAGGGAAAATAAAGGAAAAAGATCAAGGATTGGCTGGAGGGAAGGCCTGAATGAACAACCATGTTTTTAGTTGGGTTTTGAAGATGCAGCGCGAATCTCCGGAGGGAGATTGTTCCAAAGGCGAGGAGCCACCGCCAAGAAGGCCTGGTTTCGTGTTTTCTCCTTCTGGGCCTCTCTCGGCAGCAGGCTCCTCAGCCTCACCTCCTGACTCACGCGGGTGATCTGGGTAGAGAAACTTACAGAAAGGCATATGTTTTGTAGTTTGATGCCATGGTGTAAGGCAGTCAACATCGACATTGCTAGAGTAGAGCGAGCCTTTAACTAATCAGGAATTGGTTTGCCTGATAGTTCATATGCTAGTCTGGGCAATCCATCAGGATATAGTTTGTGATGAGGCTGGAGCACCCTTGTTAGGACCATGGAAACACACAAATAGCCTGGGGGACCTTCTGAAAGCTTTTGTTGGATTGGTGTAAAAAGCCAATGCCCTACAGACGTCCAGCGTATGGAGCTTGCGCTCTATAGATGTAGATGGAGATAGGAACAATGTTGGTAAAATTATAGATTGATTGATATGGAAATTTGAAATCACTTTTGGAAGAAATGATATATCAAGGTACATGGTAATTTTATCGGGATGAAATCCCGTGTTCAAGAGAATCCTAGATCAAGCTCGAAAACCCACTATAAAGCTCTATGAGAACAAATGGAAATGTTTCAAGAAACTTACAGAATCTAAGAATCTCCCTTCAAACCCAACCTCACTCAAAACAATACTTACCTTCATTCTTCATCTATTCGAACTGACTTTCGTACTCCACCATTAAAATCTATATATCAGCAATTGTGGCTCATCAATCACCTCAACATCAATCACCCAAATTGTTTTCTCATCCTATCCTGAAAGATTTTATGAAAGGCCTTCAGAATATAAGATCCCCAATACAAAAAATTGTACCACAATGGTCTTTCCAAATGGTTCTACACTCTCTCACTAATGAGCCTTTCGAGCCAATGGCTACATGCAATGAAAAATTATTGTCCCTAAAGACAATTTTCTTGGTTGCAATTACATCTGCCAAAAAAGCCAGCAAGCTAATAGCCCTTAGGTCAGATCCTCCATACTTACAATTATCCTCCACACTGTCAGTCTCGGAGATGGAATGTCTGGATGTAAGATCGACCCGTTCTTCTGGGAAAGAAGATTCGGTATTGGCAGTAAGTGTAATATGTCTATTGCCATCATTTTGAGGTGGGTGAACCACAGTTGACGTGGCCAACATGGGCCAATGATTATGGTGTTTGCTTGACATTGTCTTATCCATATGATTGTCCTCTGTATCAGTGGAATTGGTGGGAACATATAGTAGTTGATCTGACCAGTCTAGCATGAAAGCATCCCTGAGTGATTTGGGATCGATACTGAAGCAGTATCTGGGGCATTTGGTGTTTTGCCTTGTTGCAAAAAGGTCCATAGAAGGTCCCTTCTGTGACAGATCATTTGAAATGTGTAGTCGTCTAGTGTCCACTTGTGTGTCCAGGTTGGTAGTCTGCTCAGATGATCCGCTATGTAATTTTCTTCTGTTGCAATGTGAATGGCAATTGGGAAGACATGGTGGAAGTAACACCATTCCCATAATTCCACCGTGAGGTATAACAGGGATAGCGAATGCATGCCTCCCTTCTTGTTCACATGAACATGGAACCCAAGAAAGTAAAATCTGTCACTGCCTCCATATCTCCCCCTTCTATGTGCCAGGGGGTGATGGGACCAGTGGCCATGATCTTGGGTTTTGTTTCGTTGTTGGTTTTTTTTATGTTGAGCTTCAGACCATTTTTTGCACTCTCCTCTTTCACCCTCATTACAAGCTTCCTTAATTCCTCCTCACTTTCTGCCATCAGAGTGGTATCATCTGCATATCTGAGGTTGTTGATATTTCTTCCGGCAATCTTAATTCCGGTTTGGGATTCATCCAATTCTGCCTTTCGCATGATGTATTTTGCGTGTAAGTTAAATAAGCAGGGGGACAATATACAGCCTTGTCGTTCTCCTTTCCCAATTTTGAACCAATCAGTTGTTCCATATCCAGTTCTAACTGTTGCTTCCTGTCCCACATATAGATTTCTCAGGAGATAGAT